TATTATACAAATAAATAATAATGCAATAATTGAAAATTTGGATTATTCAAGAAAACAAAAAAAAACACCACCAATAAAAAAAATAGGATGACTAAATTCGGATTATTCAAAAAAAATGAAAATTTGGGTCATTCAAAAAAATATTAAAAACATCACCAATAAAAATTCATGAAAAAGATGCAATGTGAATTTAACATCACTAAATAATATTTACTAACCAATCTTCACCATTAAATTTAAGAAATAAAAATTGCAATGTGAATTTAACAAATATTCATATAAAGATTCATGAAAAAAATGCAATCACAATTTTGAAAAAATTCAAACATTTAACAAATTATTAATCACAACAACATATATAAAACATAACAAATATTCATATCAAATAATGAAAAAATGCAATCACAATTCAAGAGTGCATGTAAACATTTAATGAAATATTAATCAAAATTTAAAAAATAAAAATAAAACATCACAAATATTTACACATCAAAATGCAATGTGAATTTAACATCACCAAATATTCATCCAGTTTCAGCAAAATTTTTGCATGATTTTTAACAAAAACTGCCCAAAAAAATCCTACTTATGCATAGGAACCAATTCATAGACAATGCAAAAAAAAAAGCAAAAACATTTCGGATTTCTCATATGAAACAAAAAAAAATTGAATCATACAAATAATCATCCAAAAAAACCAAAAAGAACACCAAACATGGAGGGAGGAGTTTGGGCGAACTAACCTTCTTGTTGCCAGTGGCTAGACGGTGGGATTGTTGTTGTTAAACTCGCCCAAAAGCATATCCACAAACACAAAAGAGAGGGGAGTTTCAGACTTAAAAAATTCCAAGATAGCTTCAAATCGAAGAAAAACTTCACAAAAACACAAAAAGAGGGCAAAACGATAGGTCTATCGGCCATTTTTCCTCATCGTCGATTGTCGCTGGTGGACCTACAACTGAAAGTGTTACTCTCTGGTTTGTTGTGTTCGAATGAGAGGAGAGGGAAGAAAACCCTCACATGGGGGTATTTTGGGTATTAAAAAATTAACAAGGACTGATGCGTCCCATTCAATTGGAAGAAGCACTTCTCCAAAAAGTGCTGAAAAAAAAACAATCTTGAGGTCACTTTTTAAAGAAGTGCTTCTTTTAAAAAAAGTACTTCTTCCTCACTTTTTTACTAAACGCATATAAGTACTTAATAACTACTTAATGTGTGTTCCTAACTCTTAAAAGAAATACTTGTTAAAAGTACTTTTTAAAAGTAAAATCAAACAAAGTCTTAGTCTGATTTGATTTCTATACTAAAACAATTTGGTCTGATCTCGAAATTTCTCATATTGTTATTTTCCGGTTTGATCCAAGATTTTCCCTAAATCCTACTAAACCTGACCATGAATGCCCCTGACTAGAACAAGTGGGGCATTGCTATTGTTATAAAAATTTTATTATTTCTATTATTCCAATCTCCAGAGGATAATTACATATTTTAATTTATTTAAGTCACCAACTTCGTACATGTTTTCGTTTTGGACTTTAAGCCACCAATCCATAATAGTACGTAATCACTGATGAGAGAAACACCAAAACTTGTTTTGCAAACTCACATCAACCGAGTAGCATGATTTTGAAAACCGGATCAGGTCGGATGGTTGGACTGGTTGGCATAGGAATTGGTTCTATTTCACCCTAAAATCATTTATAGGCCGAGAATCGTTGAATTGGTTAGTGACCCGCTGATTTGGGTGGTTAAACTGTCTACCGAATAACATTTTTGACTATTTTTTAATCTTTTAATTTTTAAATTAGAATGGGCCATCCATTTAAACTGGACAGTCGGACCATTTGACCCAAAACCGGTTACCAAAATAATTCCGTGTTCAGTCCGATTAATTTTTAAAACCGTGCCGAGTAGTCCAAGTCAATATTCATGCCTAGGCTCGCATGTAAGCCTTTGAGGGTAGCTTATTTGAGAAAGCATAAGATTGGTTTTGGGGACAGTTAATCTTCCACACCTCCTTGAGCCTTTCATTTTCATAACTTCCCCCATTGGCCCATTCCTATTTTCTAATATAAGATAATATGCTGATTTTAGAGTGAACTTACCCTTCAGATTTGCTCTCCACACAATTATATCATCTCTATCTCTATTAGAAGAATATTAATAGGTTTGATTCTATTCCAAATCTCTCTCGAAACTAAAATAGGATTTTCGAGCTATCCACTCCTTTGCGTGGTGATTTATGACCCCATCAACCTTTATGCCAGGATTAGAAATTGTTCCATCCCCTCCCCTCTACTTGATTCACCTACCCAAGGGTATTCCAAAAGTTGACTGATTTTTCATTTTCAATTCTTCCAAATAATTCCCTTTTTTAAGAGCATCTTTGTGCTAATATAGAGATTAGAGAATACTCCTTCCCTTTTTTCTCCACTACCCAAATACTTTTACTGCCCGAGTATTTGTGAGTCACCTCTTGGACCCACAGGTTCATAGGTTGAGTAATCACTTTCCAGCTAATTTTGCCATATATATCAAATTGATCCGGGCGATTTTCTTTTGACCCCACCCTTTTACGTTGTTTGGGCTCACAGAATTGAGCCCATTTTACCAAGTTGATGGTCCTTTTCCCATCTTTTCCGGATAGTGAGTTTTGAGATTTTTACAATTTGTTTACGTCAAAATTTCAATTACGACATAGTAGTGGATATTTAATATGATGTATTTTCATGCACCATAGATTTTGCCTTTTATTTATGGTCGAGTATAGGAGTTTAATGGCTTTCATGAGAAATAATGTCATCATATCTACAAAAGGGTTTTCTTTTTTTTTTTTTTATTCAACATTTTTAAAAGAATCCTTGTTTACTCTACCCTGATAGGGGTTCCCAAATAGTTTTCCTTCTTCAAATCCAATGGAGTTTTTATTATTTTTGAGAAGCTTCTTTGGAGTTTCCTAAGAATACTTCAGCCAAAAATGTTTGATTTTTTAAAATTTCGCTTCTACCCAGTTGCTTTTGCATAAAGCTGCAAGATGGGTATGTTTGGGCCCCCTCTTGAAGCTTCAAAACCCAGATTCTCTTTCTTTTTTTCTTTGATTCTTTGCAGATTTTGGCAGTGTTTGGCATCGGTGCCATTTTCTGAGAAAATGGTGCCATGTAGGCACCATGTCAGACAAAACGGTGCTAGAAGCAGAGCCCTCTTATTTGGTATCATTTTTTCAGAAAAAACGTTGCTCCAGACCACACTTTGGAAATCGGGAAAGTGTGGTCTAGAGTAATGTCAAATTTGATGTTTTCTGGGAAAATGGTGCGTTGTTGCCAACAATGCAATGGCATGACATCAATGTGGCATCATCTTGGATGTTGGATAGTAAGATTAATATTGAGAACGTTGCTGCCAATACTGGTACCAAACAAAACCTGTGTTATTTTATCAAAAAACGATTATGTGGCAATACCAATTCCGAACAGTGCAATGACATGCCCAACATCGTTTTTTCTCAGAAAAACAGTACAATATTCCCAACACCGATGCCAAACACCTACTTTATCTTCTTAAGACTTTACTACATAGGACCAACAGAGAGGTAAGCAAATGCTCTTGTCAAGTAGCGGGGCAAGTCATTCCCAAATTTTGGAAGAGTTTGATCGCTAGTCAGTTGCCTCAAACTATATATGAACATGGAGCTGAAGCTCATAGTTCTGTAGCTTCGTTCACTCTTCGTGTAATTCAATAGGTTCCATGTTTCGGGTAACTGAAGTCAGTAGATATATGGAAAAGCTGCTAGTCTGCAACACAATGAAACAGCTCAAGTCCTCCATTGGATGTTCATAGCGCTCCAATCAAAACCACACAGTTCTTGGATTATCAGATCGAGGTTGCTAGCTCTGAGAACCTGCAACCAAGGAAGGAAAGGAGGAAGAGGGCCTGATGACCCAACTAGAGAGTGGTGCGCCACTGGTATTCAGTGATATGCACTATTAATAACTTTACCTTAACCCCTTTTTCTCCATAGTGCTGGTTGAGAGACTTGATTCCACTTCAACGTTAAAACAAACCCACTAACACACCAACGAGCCAGCCCTCATTGGTTAATTAATTAATAAGTGGACTAAATACACACGATACCCATCATGCTTTGCATTTCTTTTCCTTTTCCCCTGAAAACCCAAAAGATGACAAAAGAAGATTAATCCGGATCTCTTGTCTACGATAACTCTGTGCATATTTACCTACATATCATTGCAGTCATACATGGAGAACATCTCAGTTATCGTGGGCAGGAGATCCAGAGTCGATCTGATCTCCTTGTCAAGGAAAACTGTTTGATCTCTCTACTTTTCAGTTTTTGGGTAAAATATAAAAACCTCCCCGCAGGATACTGACAATCATAAAACCTCAGGTACTTTAATAAAAAGCCTTTCCTATAGACTATAATTTGGAAAAAATCTGCAATTACCTCCTTTAGTCATTGTTCTAGTAATGAAGACTTTGAATTTATTAAATTACCCTTATTACTTGTTAAGACATTTCTATATAATTCAAAATATCATATTTGACCTTCTAGACTTCACTCTAATTGACGAATTTATGAAGTAACCCTTTTCAATTTGACCCAATAAATGTTTTTAATTAAAAGTTAAAAAATCTTTTGAGGGTATTTTAGTAAATTTTTATATAAATTGTGTATTTTCTAAAAAAAGACTAATGCATTACGCCAATGTTTTCTATCTACAAGAATGTGAGGAAGGTAACTGCAGTTTCTCTCAAAACTACAGGGGAGGGGAGATTCTTATGATTGTCATAAATTAAGGAGAGGCTTTCATATTTAACTTAACCCTACTGTTATTTTTACTCGCTTGGTGGAAAAAGGAAAATTGAATTAATCCACCCCGATATAGCCGTTGCCGTTACAGAATCCGACCGTTACTTTCCCTCGTATTTGAAATAAACAATTCAAGAGAGAGAAAGATCATATGCTATAATTTCCAGTTTCACATCTACGACGGTCAACGATGAAGGAAGAAAAACAAGACCAGAAGATGGAAGAAGAGATGATGCAGCAGCTCAGGTCCAAAGCTACAGAGCTCCTCCTAAGAGAGGAATGGATCGAATCCATCAAACTCTACTCTCATTATCTATCTCTCTGTCAAGAACAGCTCTTGATTTTCCATGAGATGTCTGGCACAGAGCAGGTCTCTAAGCTCCACAAGTCCCTTTGTTTGGCCTTCTCTAATAGAGCGGAGGCGCGAACACGACTGGGGTATCTCTCCGACGCGTTGGAGGATTGCGACCGGGCACTGGAGATAGAACCAACCCATTCCAAGACACTTCTCTGCAAAGGCAAAATCTTGCTCGTTCTCAATCGGTACTCGATGGCTTCAGATTGCTTCAAGCGAGTGGCTTCTGTCGAGCTTCAGATCGGTGGGAACTGCGAAACTGTTCATGAATATCTGGATCGATGCAAGAAACTTGAGTTTCAGTCAAGGACAGGGGTTCTCGATCTGTCGGAGTGGGTCCTGAGTGGGTTTCGAGGAAAACCTCCGGAACTCGCAGAATACATAGGTGCAATTCAGATAAAGAAATCAGAGCACAGCGGCCGCGGGTTATTTGCCACGAAGGATATCGAGGCTGGGACCTTGTTGCTGGTCACTAAAGCAGTGGCCACGGGCAGGGGTATCTTGCCTAAACCCGGCGAAGATTCGAGTGACAGTGCTCGATTGGTTATGTGGAAGGACTTGGTAGATAAAGTTCTCGATGCTGCATCAAAATGCAGCAAAACCCACCACCTGATTCGTAATTTGTCGAGAGGAGAAGACGAAGATGGCCTTGAAATTCCGGTCATTAGTTTCTTTAAGCCTGATGGAACTGACGAGAGCTTATTTTCGAAGGAGAAGCCCAATGTGGGTAGCATCGTTAACATCTTGGATGTGAATTCTCTGACCGAGGACGCCATTTCAGCCAAAGTTCTTGGAAAGAACAGCGATTACTACGGGGTTGGGCTATGGATATTGGCTTCCTTCATCAATCATTCTTGCAACCCAAATGCGAGACGCTTGCACATCGGGGATCACGTGGTAATCCATGCTTCCAGAGACGTCAAAGCAGGGGAAGAGATCACATCTGCTTATTTCGATGTACTTGTACCATTAAACAAGCGCAGGGAGATGTCTAAAACATGGGGTTTTCATTGTAGATGCAGGAGGTGCAAGTTTGAGGAAGAGATCAACTGTAGAGGAGAGATAAGAGAGTTTGAGGCAGCCGCTGAGAGAGGCTTAGATATGGGTGCTGTTGTTGTCGGATTGGAAGAGAACATGAGGAGATGGATGGTGAAGGGGAAGGAGAAGGGGTACTTGAGGGCATCCTTTTGGGCTGCATTTTCGGGTGCTTTCAGATCAGACAAGTCAATGAGGAGGTGGGGTATAAGGATTCCAGCAATGGAGGCTGTGGTAGAGAGTGTGGCAGAGGCAGTAGGTGCTGACGAGAGGATCTTGAGGGTGGTGGTGGAAGGGTTGAAGAGAAATGGTGGAGGTGGAATAGTCCAGATGGAGAGAGCACTTAAGTTGGGAAGAGGGGTTTACGGGAGAGTGCTGAAGAAACAAGCAATGAAAGCTTTTCTTGAGCTTAGCAGAATTCATGATTGAACCTGTTAGGAATTTACGATACTGTAATTTCTCTTCCTTGAGAGATTATTACACTAATATTCTTTCTGCTTAGAGATTATTCACATGGCTTTGTTAATAAAACTCAGTCACGTATTTATTGTCAAAGACCCTTCTTTTTGGTAGAATATTGTCAAAGACTCTTGAGGCTACAACTTATACGCAGCCACTCGCTGGGACATACTTTTCAGTGAGGTATCCATCGGACTGGAACTCGCTGGTTAAACTTCAATGGCCGTGCCATCAGGTCATAAAAACCTGAGTAGTAGTCACTGCTATACCCCCATAAATACAAGCAGGTGGCAGGCCAACCACCAAAACTCGTACAATTACAACAAAAGAGAATTTTAACACTTGTGAGATTCACCATTGTTGTGCAAAGAGAATTTTTTATGAACCTTGTATATCTACATTATGAATGTTTTTGTTGTTCTTTGTTCGACGAAACTAGAGATAGTTTTCTAGTTCCAAATTTGGAACCCTAAGAGGTGAAAAATAGCCATTTCCCTCATCCGAGTATGAAAACACCAGCATCTTACACTTTTCAATCTAAGAATGGATACCTGAAACAAGACAGGCTTTCCCGAAGGCAAAAATTGTGCCAGACACCCTGAGACTACTGACTGCATCCAGCTGCACATTGGGAACATCTTCCCATCAATTTAACATAAAAGTATCCAGCTGCACATTGGGGACATCTTCCCATAAATTTATGATGCGTGCTCTCAAGATTTCTTTTTCCTTCATAAGATCTGGTCTCACCTGAAACACGTCTACATATTCAGACAGCTAAATTCACTATTAGTTCTTCAGAAAGCAATTACTGTAATTTGGGCTTTGGAACATAAATCAACCAAATTCCTTCAGTGCTTACATGCTTGAACATGTAAATGTAGACAATTAGATTTCAATTAAATAATTTTGTGGAGGAAATCAAAACTTTAAAGTTGCTGTAAAATGCAAGATTCTCACAGATTTTAAACTGTTGCTGAGCCGGGAGCAGGAGTCAATAACTGAAAGACAAACATCACCCAGACCTAAAGAAAATTATCCTTTTGTTACCCCAATTCCCCCGAATACCCAGTTGACCAACTTCCGATGTCAGGCAGCCTCAGCGGCTTATTGTAGATGTGAATAAACCCTAGTTGTTTCTAGGTTAAAGTAGAGAAGAAGAAAGAAGAAGAAAGAAAAGAGAAAAGAGAAAGAAGAAGAAGGAGAGGAGAAGAGTGTTCGGCCAGACTAGAAGAGAGAATGTTCAAAAGTCATTCTCCTAGCCGACCCACTTGACTTTTATTCATAAAACTTAAGTTACAAGAAAGACAATTTTGTCCCTCATAGAAGATGGGACACATRRCTTAAACTYAGATACAATAGACRTTTCACTTTCAATAAGATACACCAGAATGACCAAAATACTCCTGACCGAGCATTCTAACACTCCCCCTCAACCTGGAGAGTATATATCATATAATCCCAGCTTGTTACAAATGTAATCTATTCTTCCCCGAGACAATCCTTTTGTGAAGAGAATCTGCCCATTGATTTCTTAAGCTCACATAAGATGTAGTTATTACCCCACTTATCACTTTCTCTCTCACAAAGTGACAATCCACCTCAATATGTTTAGTTCTTTCATGGAAGACAGGATTGGATGAGATGTGAACAACAGCTTGGTTATCACAGTATAGTTTCATGGGTTTGTCAATTGAGAAACACATCTCCTATAGTAGGTTTTTCAGCCATACTAGTTCACATGTGGTATTGGCCATAGCCCTGTACTCTGCTTCCGCACTACTTTTTGCCACCACTATTTGCTTCTTGCTCTTCCAAGTTACAAGATTKCCACCCAGGAAGGTACAATACYCTGTGGTTGACCTCCTGTCTGATATAGAGCCAGCCCAATCAGCATCTGTGTACCCTACTATCTCAAGAGTTCCTCCCTTTTGGTGTAACAACCCACGACCTGGAGCACCCTTTAGGTACCTAACAATTCTCAGAACAGCTTCCCAKTGAGGAACCCAGGGATGTTGCATAAACTGACTCACCACACTCACAGCAAATGATATATCTGGTCGAGTAATGGTCGGGTAGTTCAACTTTCCCACCAACCTTCTGTATCTTCTAGGATCATCAAACTCTTCACCTACATCCACACTTAACTTGACATTGAGTTTCATAGGAGTCTCTGTTGGTTTAGCACCTAACAACCCTGTTTCTTCAAGTAGATCAAGAACATATTTCCTCTGACATAGGTTGATCCCTTGTTTTGACCTCGCAACTTCTATTCCTAAGAAATACTTTAGCTTCCCCAGATCTTTTGTATTGAAGTGRTCCTGTAAGAATTTTTTCAGCCTRTCAATTCCATTRCTGTCACTTCCAGTTATGACAATATCATCCACATACACGACTAGCAAGATCTTTCCATCTTTTGAGTTATAGCTAAACACAGAATGATCAACCTGACACTGTTTCATCCCAAAGGCCTTCACCACTTCACTGAACCTGTTGAACCATGCACGAGGAGATTGTTTTAGTCCATAGATTGCCTTTTTGAGCCTACACACCATACCAGCCTCCCCCTGAGCAACAAACCCTGGTGGTTGCTCCATATACACCTCCTCAACAAGATCCCCATGCAGGAAGGCATTTTTGATGTAAAGTTGTAGGAGAGGCCAATCATACATAGTAGCCAATGAGATCAACACCCGAACTGAACCAATTTTAGCCACAGGAGAGAATGTCTCCATATAGTCCACACCATATAGCTGAGAATATCCCTTGGCCACTAACCGTGCCTTCAATCGTTCCACACTACCATCAGGAAGATGCTTCACTGTATAGACCCATTTACACCCAACAGTGTGCTTACCAGGAGGAAGGGTGGTGAGTTCCCACGTATGATTATGTTGTAGGGCAGAGAGTTCTTCTTCCATGGCTTGCTGCCACCCTAGAGAGGTAAGGGCTTCCTGTACTGTCTTGGGAATGGGAACCAATGAGAGTAATGATATAAACTTGCAATGAGAAGCAGAAAGGTGAGCAATGGAAACATAGTCTGAAATGGGATGAGAAGTACAAGTACGTTTACCTTTCCGCAAAGCAATAGGGAGATGAAGATCTGAGGGAGAAGGAGCAGTAGTAGGATCTGTCGACGGGTGCTGAAATGGAGGAGGAGCCAAAGCACTTCTGCGGGTATACACTTGAGTAATTGGCAGCCTCTCTGTAGTAACAGGCATATGATGTGCATCTGCAGTAGGAGTGGGAGCTACGGGAAGGGGGTCTACAACCGGAACAGGAAGAGGAACCACAGAGGGATAAGAAGAAACCCCGGCATCAGAGAAAAAAGGAACTGATTCAAAGAAAGTGACATCAGGGCACACAAACGATTTATGAAACTTAGGGTTATAACACTTGTACCCTTTCTGAGTCCTTGAGTAGCCAAGAAAAATACACTT